ATGAAGAGGCAAGGGGCCACTATGGCCACAGGGCCAAAGGTCAAGTGTCAAAGGGTGACATTTGCAATATAATATAATCAAACCTTGTTTTTCAAGCATTTTCTGTTTTTCACTTTGACTTTTAAAATAGTCATGTGTTCAGTGTCCACGTCTGACAGAAGCGATTCATTAAATTTGGTGCAGCTATGACTGCTTTTTAAATATTGGCTAAAATGTTAAATAAGTCCTGTACCACATCTGCTCTTAGTAAATGCCATGCTTGCTGGTCCCACACCCGCTCTGCTGTCTTAGCGAGGGAACTTTTTCTCAGAACTGCGCTGACCACACATACTTCACATGCCTTTCTATTTGATAGCATTCACTATAGTTACTGAGAATGACATGAAAACGGGATTGCAAAGCCTTTCACTCAGTTAACCTTTTACAGTGATAGAAAAAGTGCTCCGACAGAGACAGATCGAGCCATTAATCAAATCAAATGATGTTAGACAGCTCGGATAGTTTTTTATTATATCTGACGTCTATGAACATACTCTTGTAAGAAAAGCATGCATTGCATTTGTAGCAGCAGCATCCACCGAGGAAGTTGTGTTGATGAAATCTGAGCGCGGCACTGGTGTAATCCGGCCACAGATGTAGGACATGAGTGTGTTAATGGCACAGAGCCTGCTGTCCCACGCAGGATCTGTCATCAAATAAGCCCCATGGGTTCAGATTGTTACCAGCTAAATTGTTAGCATGACAGGAATGTTATCACAGTGTCCCGTTGGCCCTACGAAAGCATGGATCATTTTCCAATACCAAAAGATGAGAGCTCTTGAATGTTATGTATTCAAAATGCTTAAGGGTTCATTTGATTGACTGGTCAACATCTGTTTGGTTGACAGAGTTGGATCATTTTTCTCAAATTATGTAAAGGTTCTGTTTAAACAGGAATCACTGCTGTTTACAATAAGGACTCTACTGCACATTTCCTGTCAGCATTCAAGACACTGTATGTCTGAACATATTTACGTCTCACAAACAGATCTGAGTTGTGTTCCAGGCACTCGCCTGCTCGTAATAACATACAGTAGATATCTAACCTCACATTGAGTGTGACAGCGCAGCCAATGTCTGACTGCAGGGATTACATGCGTTAGCATTGGATCACTCTTGTATCTCAAGTAGTCAGTTCCTAGTTTTGCAATGCAATGTCAATTAATATCAAACAATGCTCAAAGAAACTAAATGGTGGTCCGTGACAAACGGCTTCACTTCAACACAATCACCTGGTGTTGTCATTGTTTTGCTGTGTCAACCTGATATCTCCTCCTCCTGTGAGTATATGGAGGGTTTTATTTTTTTATTTAGACACTCCCTTTGTGCCGTGCTGCTGTGTAATTTGGCCGTGAATACAGTGAAGATCATGCAAATGCCTCAAAGAAAATAATGTACTAGCTTGAAGAAGGTTAAGAATCACCATAAGCATTGTAAGTTGTAATACAGGTCTGTGCCACTCAGGTGTTTGTAGACAGTTCATGTGCAATAAAACCTTTTATAGCCTTAAGGTTTGAGTCCCAGTTATTTACTGACAGCGAGAGCTGAGATAAGAAATATCTGAGGGCTTAAACGTCTTAGGTAACCGTGTAAATAAAGTAATGGGGTGTCGGTATTTCAGCAGAAGGACTCGAGGACTCGACCTTTGATCTCTGCCGGTGTGAAAGTTGTTCTTCCACTGTGACTTATTTGTGTTTTTAAGTTCAGGCCAACTTGAGGAACCTATAGTAAATACTTTCCTCTTTCATTCATTGCCAATAAGCCATGACGATAAATTACTTAAATTATTAAATGACCGTGAGGTCAACAGAAACAGGTATTGTTTATTGATTTTTGCCACTCTAACATCATCCTACGGTGGTTTATTTTGTCAGTGTTTTGTGTGACAACGGCGGAGCGTGTTAATGAGGCATTAGGATGAATCACCACCTGGTCTGTGTGGTGTTGTTATCCCGACACGCCTGCTCCGCGGAGAGGCCCGGACCTGTTCAGAGAGACACACGACACCGCGGGGGATTAGGTAGGTGTGCTAGTGCCGTGGCATGGTAGACTAGACAAATAAATACACAACCAGGAAGTAACTGATGACAGGATGGGAGGAATCCTCTGATGGAAAAGAAGGGCACACACCACACCACTAAATGAGTCATGGCCAAACGGGTGAGTGCGTTAACGGATCCTGTATCCAATTCATTTTGAGACTAAATATAACATTCATTCACGCACCACACCGCTTATCCTTTAAGGTGGCGGGGGGTAGCTGGAGTCAGTCCCAGCTAACATCGGCGGGAAGAGGCGGGGTACACCCTGGACTGGTCGCCAGTCAATTGCAGGGCCGACATGGAGACAAACAACCATTTACTCTCACATCCATACAGGGAATTTAGAGTCACCAATTAGCCGAACCCCCAGAGCACGTCTTTCGACTGTGGGAGGAAGCCGGAGGACCCGGGGAGAACCCACGCAGACCACAGACAGGCCGATGGGGGAGGGAGGGGGCGACAGCGCTAACCACCACAGCACCGTACCAGCGTGCCGCCCACTTCACTTCAATGATTAAGCGTGGTAATTAAACCAGATTAACAAGGTACAACACCAGCAGTTTATTTTGTAAGGACGAGGGCTCTACGATTTTGAGAAAATGTCTAACTCCAAACTATTCCTTTTACTGATATTGCAATATTGTTATATTAATATTAATACTAATATTAGTGGGATCATTGATAAAAATGAGTCTCTAGAATATGATGTGTAGGCCTGGAGACCTTCACAGCACAACAATATTTCATCTGAAAATATATTTTGACGCACATATCTCATTGCAATGTCTTTCAGTTGATTAATTAAACAAGGGTTTGTGATGCTTTTCCACATTTGACTATACAAATAGTTTACCAACAGCGGCAATTACGCGTTAGCCCGACATTACTGTACATCAACCCCACGTGAGCTCTTTACTCTTTTCGTCATGCTGACGGAGGCAACTTGTGGAAACAGCGATGAGGGAAAGGTTATTACCACAGCAGGCCATGTTATTTGTACCAACTTGTCCTTGTGGAAGAAAGGTGGAATTTCACCAACTTATTGTGTAACCATTAATCTCCTTAGTATACTCATTCAATCTTACAGGCGTGCAAGCCAGAACAATGACGCGGTGTTCAAGACCTTCTCTTTTTAAGTACATTTGAAGTCCAGTGTTTGTGATACTCGCAAGACAAATGAGCCCACAGATGCGACCACAGTCGCAAATGATGCGTCTGATAACCAGCAACCAGATTAAGCTAAGCTAATGTACTAATGAACGTTTTTGGGTCCTCATTCGTTGCTGACTGTCTCTTATCCTCCTCTCCGGTGGGGAGAGTGATAACCTTTTTCCCATATTTTGACAGTGTGTGAAAGAACTTGGTGAGTTTTTGTGAATAACTGCACTATGCTTGCCACTTGAACCAGTTGAACCAGTCTTATCACAGCTTTGTGGTTTGACCCTCCTGACCAATTAAGACTTCTCAAAGACTTTTAAAAAGCCTTCTGCAATTACATTTCCGTTTCCTGGACCAACTTCTTTTAGTATGTTCACACATGGCACAACATGAATTGAGCAACGACTTTCAGCGTCATCGTCCTACTTCTTCAATGCACTGCTATGAGTTCAGGCCCTCTGAATGAGTTGTGATCTGCAGCACCAGCTGTAGTAGAAACAGTCCCACTGAATGGCCTCTCTGTCTGCACTTAGCCTTGTTGTGGGTGTGTGTGTGTGTGTGTGAAACGGGAAAACAATGGGTATCCAATGAGACAGGAGCCGTGCTCCTATAGTTCTGAGCTGCCGTTAGAGGGGGGAGAGGCCGAGAGCAATGGGGAAGGACTGGAGAGGAGAGGCCCTTTGTTTATGTGCTTGTGAGTGTATGAGAGGAAGGGGGAGGCGTTAGAGTTAGGTCGTGTAGGTCAGACGCATGACTGTGTCCGGGCACACATTCTCTCTTTGTGTTTGTGTTGTTGTTGTGGCCTGTGTGTGGATGAGAGCGCGGGCGGGTGAAACCCTCTGTATACTTAGTCTTTCCATACCGTTGTGAGCCGTGATAGAAGTTGTCAGCAAACCGGCCATAACTTTCCGAGTTATTTTGTCCCCTTAAATGTAGCCCACTGAGATGGAGACCCATATCACATATAGATATAGATTTTTTTCAATTTCTCTATTTCTGTCATTTCCATTTCAATGGGAAAATATTACAATTGACTTCAAAGCTGCGTGTGTTTTTATTATTTAGTCTGAGTTTTTTTTAGAGTCTCTTATTTCCCCGTTCTGTGTGTTTTTTGCGTATGTCAAAACAAACATAGATGAGCATGTTGACAACGACAGTATTTCCCCTTTTCATCCCATTTGACTCCTGTTTTACACACTTCAGTCCCTTTCATGGCACATTTTAAGCACCAGAGGGCAGGAGAGAACCACGCCGAACTGGGCCCGCGTAACTGTTAATACCCAACAGCCTCTAACTTACATTCAAGTTTGCCCTCCACTGAAGAAAACTATTACTAATATACTATTTGCGGCATATTTTTGTATGCATATATGCATCTACATTGTTCTTCCTTTCAACATGTTTAACTATTTCCCTGTACCGTAACAGAACGTACAAAAACAAACCTTAATCTAATATTATATTGATACTGTGATTATGACAAACTATTCTCCTCGGTTATCGCATCTATAACCCCGTCATGCAGTACGTGAGTAAGAATTTACTATTCAGTGTCAAAACCACTTTTAGAAAATTATACGTTGTACCTCCTCGCAAAGGTAAATTTGGGACAGGCCGCAGCGCTTCGGGGTGTCTGGATGTGTTTGCAGAGTGCTGATCTCTAGCACGTAAAAAAAAAAAAAACTCCCTGATATTTGAGTCGCTCCAGGGATTTGGCGAGCATGCCCAGTGCGCGCCCCTCTCAGCCCCCAAAGCAACCCGCCCGCCCGTGCAGCGCCGGAGTCACACCGAGCACCGCCTGCGTGTCAGTGCAGTCGACTTACAGCTGGCTGTGAGGACTGAGGAGCACTGACTCTTTATCACCGCGATACATTCACCCAGAAAAGTAGCCTTAACGTGGCATCGATCCTCTTCGGGGTTTATTTTTATTAAAGGGATTTCAAGGAAACAGACGTTTGAGGCTGGGACTTTAAAACACCTTTTCCCTCTCGCTTCTTTAGCTTTTTGACCGTCGCCTGAGGGGTAAAGAAGAAGAAGAAAAAAAACAGGTCTTTTTTTGAGAGCGAGGGGGGGGGTAAAACTCGATAAATGCTTCTAACGAAAATGGACCTGTTGAATTACCAGTACCTGGACAAAATGAACAACAACATTGGCATTCTCTGCTACGAAGGTAAAGTGAACGGTTTCTGTGGGTTGTTTTTAACGCTGTGAGTTGGAGCAAAGTTTTCACTCTACTTACTGAGGCTAACGTTGGCTAGCTACTCAAGCTAACGTTGTCTAACTACTCAAGCTAACGTTGGCTAGCTACTCAAGCTAACGTTGGCTAGCTACTAAAGCTAACGTTGGCTAGCTACTCAAGCTAACGTTGGCTAGCTACTCAAGCTAACGTTGGCTCGCTACTCAAGCTAACGTTGGCTAGCTACTCAAGCTAACGTTGGCTAGCTACTCAAGCTAACGGTGGCTCGCTACTCAAGCAAACGGTGGCTAGACCCGCTCGGGGCGCTTGACGCTTTCAACACATGTTGATTAATCTATTTTTTCGTTCAGCAATATAACGTTAGTTATGAATGAGCACCATTTCAAACTTCTGAACTTGATGCTAACATGCTAGGGGAAACATTAATGTCGTTTCTACTTGTTTGCATTTTCGTTGTCTCTAATTTCTGTCTCCATCAACTCCAGCTTCATGCCACTTTTTGTCACGAACTGCAGGAAATCATATCTGCTTGAGTAAGGAATTACTTCACTGTAACTAGTAAAAAAATATATGATGTGATTGTTGTTTGAGGCGGTAAATAACCTAACTTTGTCCAGACAAACTGATCACCAGTATTTCTTTACAATTCATCTCATCCATCCGTCTCTGCTGTGCATCAACCTGCTTTTCCCATTCTGCTGGTGTGGCACAGTTTGCAGCTTTTCTCTACATGAAATATATAACTTTTACCAGATCTTATTGTCACTGAAACCTGTTTTACAGATTTGAGAGAGGCTCAGAGAGGCAGTTTGGCAGGTGGCCAAGTGCCATTTTATACAAGCAAGTAGCAGGAACATGGTTTTTTTTTGTTGAAGTGGTTGCGCATGTTATTATGGACTCTGTCAACAGTCTTACTTTGGTCTGTTTCAGTGCTTTGTGGGGGGAAACGTATAACTCCTGTTTGCCCCAAAGTGATTGCTCCTCGGCATGTGACTTTTCAAATTTGGCTCAGGAGTTTTGGCCCCTTTCTGAGCAACTTCCGTGACAGTAAAGCGCCTTCTTCAGTGCTTCTTTGCGGCTCTGGATTGAAATCAATCGAAGGGTTGTTTGTATCCCTTTTTTTTTGATCTTTCAGGTTCAATCCTGTTTTTCTCAGTAAATAAAATCACTAAAGGGAAAAGTGGAGGACACTACTTATTTTGTGGTGTGTCTATTATTGTATACCCTCAGGGTATCTTTTGTAAGTGGTGTTTAAACACAACACTTTATTTCTCTGTAGGAGCTCATCTCTATGTGATTAGCCCATCTATTGTTTTTTCTGTTTTGATTTTGTGTGCGTGTGTTTTTAGCTGAGCGAGCTAAAAGTGACTCCATCATGTGCCTCATGATAAGAAAAAAAGAAAGATAAGAGTCAAGAGAGCCAAACTGAAAACAGAGGGAAAGAAAAGCCCCTCATGTTCGAACATGTCAAACTAAGAAAGGGGATTGGATGAGCTTTGTGATATTTTGGGTCTGCTGGCGTGTTATCGTATGCATCAGCACACACAGTCAAAATACATGCCGCGACAAATGTTCATGTATCCTGGTACTCTGTCCCTTGAGCTTCATTTGTTTTCTCAAATTTTCACACTATAGTTATAAACATTTATTTGCAACTGCAGTTTTGGGATGCATTGACAATTCTTCTTTCTTCCCAACCGATGACACTTGCAATTACTGACGTAGATGTTCATCCAGTTTCCTTTGTGTTCTTTCTTGACCATGGATGTCAAATTAAGCACTCAGAATCAGACAAGAGTTTGTGTAGGCGATAGTTCACAGAAAAGTTAATTACAGGTGTGTTTTATTTGGTCAAATGTCACAGCTGTTCTGACATCAATTTGACTGACAAAGTTTAGTTTAGAAAATAACTAGTCTCCTCCTTATCCCGTGTCAGAGCCCTTTAGCGCCCTATATATCATACATAATTAGATTGTTGTTACAGTAACTGACGAGTCCACTGATTTACTAATTGGCCATGACAGGTCGCCTCCGCGTGCGACATTTCAAATAATTGCTCCAATCTCCAGCAATGTCACACCAGCTGTGTGCCCTCCGACTCTATGTTTTGTCTCTGTCTCCCGTTAGTCAGCCTGTCTGTGTGTCTCCCTTTCTTCTCTCCCTTGTCACGCTGCTATCAGTTGTGGGCCTGGCGGGGAGGGGGTGCACGGGAATGCTGACTGTTGCTTTTTGCTGCAGAACAGCTGGAAATGAACAAGGTTGAAAGCCTCCTTACGGGCATCTGCTTTTGTGAACTTCTCTTCCTCTTTGTTTGCCTTTTCTTGCTCTCCCTTTCTCGGCCTGTCAGGGATCAAACCAATCTGACATCCGGTTTAAAAGTTCAGTTCACAGAGACAACAAGAGGTGTTTTTTTTTTTCTTTTATGCATTTAAAGGCTAAAACCTCCACAGGCTTTGAAAATACAGGCAACCCAGAGGGCCAAGTTCAGGTTACAGAGAAACGCAGCCAAAAATAATCGTGCTGCTGCTGCTTTGCCGACAGAGAGGGCATGCTTAGACTCATCCTTTTTGAAGTACCTTAAGGGGAAACGGGAGATAGAAAGAACATGAGAGGGGAATGAAGAGGGGGGGGTGGAGTTGACCTCTTTTTGAAATCCAATCTCATCCTGATTCCTAGTTGTTTGAAGTACTGTCAAGAGAAATAGTGCTTTGATCACATGGACCTAATGACCTGAGAGGATAGAGTGGAGTTATACGTCTCTACTACAGCCCTACTTTAACTGATTGTCTCCCGATTGAACAAAATAACGGACCTTTTCTCTGAATAGTGTCTCTGCTTAAGGAAACAAATGTAGAATCGTCCTTTTGTTGCTTTGGCATTCTGTCACTCAGTCTATTTCTACAGTTTGTGTGACAATTTTATTGGGTCACATTTTTACTGCAGAAACCCAAATATTTACATTTAATCATTAAAATAGTGTACTGAAGAAAGAGGCATTATGTAAATCTATACACATAGTTTTCTGTTTATTAGGTATCCTTAACCACGGGAATCAACATCTATGAATGTACATGTAGAATGTATTTATTGCGAGGCTCTAATTGTACTCAACTGGCAACTGAGTGCAAAACTGCTCAGGTTAACTGTTTGGTCACGCTCATAGCCCCCCAACCCCTGAACCTCGAACAAGCTGTTATGTGTCCTGGATCCTGATTGGACGGTGTGGTGTCACAGTCGAACTTCTTTCATTGCCAGCCCGCTGTCCTGCCAGAAACAATGATGTCACCCTTGTTGCCATGGTGCACAGTGGGGCTAGCAGGGACATGCTAGAGAGGGAGGGAGGGAGGGAGAGAGGGGGAGGAGCAGCGAGTGCTGTGTTTGGGAGGCCTCGCTAAAAGTACTCGCCACAGTAGAGGAACAGGGCACACCAGTACAAAGCCTTTTCATCATTTGTATGCGTGTCAGTGACTTAATGATATAGTTGTTTACGACCGCATGCATCCAAAAAATCCCTGTGCTTACTCAAGTATTCAAAGTCAAATTTCCATCTATATTGTTGAATTTTTGTTTTAATTTGTAGAATTGTAATATCCTGAAATAAATTGATTTAGCTCCCCAGAATAAGTAATGTAAGGCATCGATCAGGAGATTTATTACTACGTTGTGCCATTCAGTCGTTCATAAATGCCTGTAAAGTTTGTAACAATAGCAGAATAAGCACAAACATTAAAAGAGTTTTTATTTGGTTCTGCAATGTTAATGATGAAACAGCTAAACAGCTATACAGCTATATTAAAATCGTTTGAAATAAAACAGTAAAACATGCTTGGTGTTGGTGTAAAAAAAGTGCACGTAGCAAAGAAAGTTGTATGCTGGCCTTTGTTTTGTTTGGGAGAAGCCGGACAGATACATGCAGTGGAAAGTCCCCGAGCTGAGACGGAGCCAGTGGTAGTTTTCCTGATTCCCCTTTGCTCTCACTCCCACTCACTGACAGCTCTGTGGGCCTCCTGTAAGAGGACAACACTGCCGGTTGGCAGGGAGAAATAGTTCACACACCACATTTAAACTTATGCAGGACGCATCCACAACTATTTCTTCCAAAACATTGCTGCCAGGTACTCCCCTGCTTATGCCTCAGGTTTGTGCCTCACTCAGCAAACCGTAAAAGTCAACAGAATTTAAAGTTTGAGCTGGAACACAGCATTTAAAGGAACACTTTTTTTTGTGGTCAGTTTGTTTAAAGTGGCAATAATCCAGTTACCTTCTACTTAGGAATACTATCATTTTGGCTAATTACAGTCATTTACAACCACGGCCAAGCAGCCATTTGGAACTGCAAGCATATCAATTGACAGGAACTGGGATTACATTTTAGGCTTAGGTTGAACTTAATTGTTCTGTAGAAAACTTTTTTTGTGGTTCTACACTTTCCATTTTGAATATCTCCCTCTAACCTTTGAACTTGCAATCGCGATTCAACATCACCAGTAACTGTTATCTTTCCTCCTTTTCTCAGGTGAAGCGGCTTTGAGGGGGGACCCCAGACTCCAGTCCCTGTCTCTGTCCTCCTCTTCTTCATCCTCCTCATCCTCGTCCTCCTCATCTTCCTCTTCCATCTCCAACCACAGGACCGGTCCTCCTCCCATCAGCCCCACCAAGAGGAAGCTGAGTGGGGACCAGGGAGATAGCGACATGGACGACAACGAGCATGTGGCGAAGATGAGCCGGCTGTTTGCCGCACAGCTGTGAGTACAAAGACTGAGAAACGAGTGATGCGGCACTCTGTGTGTTGTTCTTTTTAGTATGCAAATAAATCCTTCCTTGGCTTCAAACCAAACAAAATAGCAAATTAATTTATTGCAGACAAACAACAATTGAGAGCGAAATGTTTATTTTTTCTTTCTTCACGTTAAGCTGTGCAAATAATCCCTGGTTCTTACAACTGCCTGCTCCATTTTCTAATTTCATAATGCTCCCATTCTATTTATTTAGCCCTTATTTTCAGGGGTACACATTGTAGCTTGTAGCGTGACGGTGTCTTAACTGCGTTTATTGCAAAATCCCGGCATCCTTTATCACTGCAGCCTTGTCTTTTCCTGCCTCACACACCGTGGGGTCGTTGAAGAGGAGCCACATTTCCACTACCGCCGCCAGGTGGGCCTGCCTCTCTGTTGGCCGTGTGTTCTGCGGGCTCCTTTGCCTGTTGGAGCCGTGCACAGGCGGGCAGCCATGCTTTCTCAGAAGTCCCATTTTGTGTGTAATATATATATATATATATATATATATTACACACACACACACTCTCGTTGGTTTTTGTCAGTTGTGAGACTCCAGCAGTTGCTATTTGTTGTGGAGCATAGTAGATGATATGATTGCTACACTTGAAGCCTTGGATTAACAGTGGGGCACAGTTACCGGCAGCGTAATGTGTGGTGAAGCATGTGCAGACAAGCAGACGCACTTGCGGGACGTTCTGCCGTTTGTTCACGCTTTCACAAACACCTGCTGCACATTATGCCGATAGTTCATTGGAGATCAGTTGCAAACTCTTCTGAGCAACAAACGGCAGGCGTGACAAAATCACATGTGTATTCCAGCTCTGCATGTCCCTAACACTTACTCTGAGGGGGAGGGGGGGGGGGACAGGGTCTCTGTTCCTTTGTCTTGTGATCGTCTGAGCTCACATAACAACGGATTAGCTGGTGAGTCTTGACATTTGTGCAGAGTCATTTGGTTTTCTGTGAAGGTTTCCGTTGTGGGAGAATTGACATTACTATTGTTTTACTACCAGGCGGTAAAACAAGCCGACCACTCTGTGTTTTTTTTTTTATTTTTTTTAGATTTTTTTAGATTTTTTTTTCCTGTTGTCTCATTGTTTTTTGACTCTGTGAGATATGCTTTCCCCATAATGCGGTTAGCTTCTGCTTACATTAATAAACAAAAGCTCCAACCCGCGTATCACGAGTTGGATTTATTTTTGTAAATTGGTCTGCCAAATACAATGGGAGTTATTGTCATATTAGCTTTCGGTCAGTGTCGGAACTCCTCGCCACGGCTTCTAAAAGCAGCCGTTTTGTGAAATTAAACTGCAGGCTCTGTGAAAGTAAAGTGATCTCTGTGATGTTTCAAGACCTTTCAAAATACTCATTACACCACGATCATTTCACAAGTAACACTTAATACGCCATATTCCCTTTTACCTAAACTTCACCTTAGTAGTCACTTTGGGGTCATTTGGCTCTGGGGCCTGAAGGTTAATCTCTACCCAAGTGAAGTTCATTTTTAGTTCATTTGATTTTCCTCTGAGGGCATTGATTCCCGGGTTGAGGGCCCTGTTGAGTGATGGATTGAAAGCTGCAGTAACTGGGGCTCCGAGAAGTGTTCCTCGTCTGAACTGAAACAGTGATCACACCAGTGGAGTAGTCGAGCTTAGAATAGTCAGTAGAATTAAAGTGTCTATAGGAAACACTCAGTGTGTTTACATGATGGTATAATTCGAATCTTTGCTTAGTCGGACTATGCTATCTTTCAAGTGCAAGTGCTATAATCCCTATTATATCCCTATACTATTTTTGCATGATGTTAATGCGCCATTCACATTCGCTGAACTCCTATCGGCTGATTTGATAAGAGAGAAGACGCTGTCGGGATCTCAAGCATGCGCAAAGACGCAAAGTCCAGTTCCTTATCCAATTCACCGTTACATGCCGCAATAGTCGAACTATCAACTGGATCGGATCGAGTTATCCAGGGGTGTCGGATCGTAGTCGGACCGCACATAGTCGGACAAAGGTGTTTACATAAAACGGATAATTCGATTTCAGTCCGACTACGCCAGTTATTCGAATCCATGTAACCGCGCTGACTGGAGGGTACTTCAGTTAACTCCTCTCTATTTAAAATGCATGACCGCTCTGCTTCATTTAACTCAGCTGCCAAGTGTAGGAATAGTGATTAGGTTTAAAGATGATGAACATGGTTCTTTGGCAGAAGGAGGGGGGCTCCACACACTCACACGCACACACACTCAATTGAAATGTCCACAGATGGATATTTGACACCACGCTAGCTGTCTCATTCTGCTGGCTGCTTTTCTCTGTGCGTTTTTTTTTCCGTCTCTCCTCATTGTGTGCTATTCCTGCATTTTCAGGAGCTTTTGTGTCCTCCTCTCGCGCAAAAAAAAACCTAACAAACATTTCTCTGTGATGGCAGATTTCTTGTGTGCTCACTACATCGAGCACTACACCGTGTGTGTTTTTGTGGCGCTGCTGGTAGTCGGATTTCTTTTGTGAGTTCAGTCGTATTTTGGTTGAGTAAACACAGCGACTGACGCTTCCCAGCCGAGTTGGGCCTGTGAAAGAGGATTCTTTTTCCAGGTTGCTTTTTCCTGTCCTAGCAGGCAGAAAATAGCTCTCTGAACCGACTGAATCTTTGTTTTTCATGTGGGGCCACATTAACGAGCGCGCTAAGTGAGCAGGTTTTTGCTTCAGTCAACAGGCTGTGAGTTTAAGAACGTGGTTGTGTGTGTATTCTTCTCAGCCTTCTTAGTTTAGTAACGTGTCTCCGGCATGGTAAATTGTGCACATAAAAGACTGTGGCAGCTCTACTGGCGCACTGTTATGTGGATCTGAACCTTTTGTTTGTGTTTGTGCAGGTATGCACACGTGTCGTCCTGTGAACTGTCCATACATCTGTGCGTGTGGTGAGAGGGCTCCTTGTCAGACAGCTACTTTCTCATTTTCTCCGAGGAGCAGGCGGAGTCTGGAACAAAGAAGCCTTATCCTGTCCACTGGAGCCTGCGGGCTGGAAGCTTGCTGCTGCCTGCCCGCCCGCCGCTGTGCGACTCCTCCTTTAGAATAAGAGCCAGTCACAGAGCAACCTTTTTTGGCCGTTTTATTTCTGGGATGGAACTCAATGGGCACCAGGTTTGCTGGGAAGTCAAAATGGAAAAACGTGCCATCTTTCCTTGTTTATATATCGAATTCTGTTTAAATGAACAATAACACGTACCAACTGACCAATCAGTGTGGCACCGGCCGCTTCTGACCAGGGTCCGATAGCCGCATGGCTCCATAGACTCTTGTGTCATCGCTTCAGACTTTGCTGATGTTGTGATACTTGCCACCTAAAGTTTAGAAGGAGGTATGTTTCTGAAACGTCATGTTTCCATGTGAAATCCCGTGGAGCAAACATCAGCAGGGTATTAAGCACTGTATTAACCTGCGTTAGGTATGCTGAATGTATGTAGCCGCTTCTTCTGCTTTTTGGTAGTGAATGACCTATAAAGTCTACATTCAGTGTGGTCTGTTTGCTGCAGTAAGTACTGTAGCACACAGAAACTCTACTGGGAACTTCATCAGCAAGTTGTTCTCATGGAAGTTTCCCCAAATAGGGGAATAATCTGAGAAGTGGAGTGTGTGTATGTGTGTGAGAGTGAGACGAAGCCAGGTTCAATCATGGTTCCCCTCTTGTTTTACATGGGACTGAACAAGTTGTGTGTGTGTGTTGGAGAAAAGAAGGGAAAGCTTGTGGGGATTTGTTTTCCTTCTGTGTTCTTGTGTTGTTGTTTCTTTCCCACCTTGTTGTGGCTGTTCCCATATCCGATCTGTCCCAGCTTTGATAACAAAGGATTGCTTTAGTTCTTTCTCTGTAGTTTGTCAACTATCAAAAATCTAGTTGATTTCTATCTGGATTCATAAATGGAAATCTGAAAGATGTTTGGAAGTGATGAAAAAGCTTCTTACTTGCTTGAGATATTTGGGTAATACAGGGGAAGATTAATGGTCTATGTTTATGTCTATTTTAATGGATGCAAATTTTGTGCTCCTAAAACGTGGTCTGAGGGGAGGAAAATGTCTAAAGATGTTGGTATACTTTCTGTACAGCTGGGTGCGCCCTGTGGCACACGTGTGTGTGTGTGTGTGTGTGTGTGTGTGTGTGTGTGTGTGTGGTGCGGATCTTGCTGGGCTTGGGCCTGGCTGTAACCTGCGGTTGAGCCTTCATCCTCCTCCTCTTTTTTTTCTTTTTGGTCTTCATCTTCTACGCCATGATTATTCCCAGATGTTTCCTGTGTGTATCCCTCGCTCTCTCTCAATTCTTGCTCTTTATTTATTTCCCGAAGGAATTGGATATGAACTGCTGCCCAACCTAGAACCTATTGTGAGGTTTTGTCTGACTTTAGAAAACAATTGTGAGAAAAGGCCTAGAATTTTTATAGCACCTGTTTGTTTAGTCCAAAGTAGAATATTTCTAATCCATTAAATTGACCGTCTATTAAAAAACTAAACCATATTTTGTCAATATAACCATAAAAAGTCTTATATTTACATTCATTCAATGTGGTTATCTACTGTGGCAAGTGGCCTCATTCAAAGCTGTGAGATGCTGTAATACTGCTTGGGGTATACGACTACATCATTTATGTACTGAGGTCTTTACTCTGTCTTTTTAAATGAAGGGATCATCTGCTGAAGGACCAGGCTACATGTAACACAGGCTCTAGGCAAATAAAATCCCATAGACATCTACTCTCTCCTTCATTGTGTTCTTAAACGGGATAGAAAGCTTATTGTATGAAGGGAAAACAGAAAACATTCACCTGTACCAGAGCCAGATGTTCAGACTCTTCAGCACTGCTCACACAGGTGTGTGCTTCCCAACATGCAGGCGCAGTTGAGGCCTCGTTTGGCTAAGGACAGGATGTGGTATCCACAGATTTCCTCATGCAACTCTCCAAATGTATTCTGCCCTTTCCCTCGCCTTAGCCATCGCCCTGATGAGTGATCGTGCACATTGTTGTGTTCAGGAAGTATCTCTTCAAGAAAAGACAGAAGTTGTTGGTGATAGCCGCCTTCGTTACGGCGCTTATAGCCTGTTCCATTCAGACACGGGTGTTTCCTGGTGTATGATGCAGGAATACGATGTTCGCTCCAATGCATGTTAATCCGTCATTTTTAGCGGTGGATCAGGTAAAATACATAGAAATGAATCATTGTTCCCGGGCCGACTATCTAACTGAATCAAGTTTGACGTGTCTGCTCTGTGGGGAAAACACGAAAGCTTGTCTGTGAGCTGTTTGGGGTTTATAAACAAAGCTGCCAAGATTCCCCCTCAGGAAGTTTGCTGCTGATTGTGAGCGAGAACAAAAAAAGAGAGCAAGAGAGAGAGCAAGGGGGCGTTCAGCTAATGCAAGCTCTCGGCACAAACGAAGGAAACTACTGACCTCACTCTTTCTTGTAGTAGAGGTCCGGACCATTGGCATGCAGCTCCCCACCTCTCCTCTGGTCTGTATTCTCTACAGACTATTTATTTGTGGAGGAAGCTGCTGTGGGCTCCAGATGCTCCACCCAGCAGTCGGGTTGCCTGGTCACACGGATTTACAACGCTTTGCCCGAACTTGTTGTTTTGCATCCAAACAAAACCGTAAAGGCCTGACGTGACTTTTTCACTCCACGGTCGGTTTTGTATTCTGGAGAAAAGCCTCCCCGTGTCTGGGGAAGAGTAACGAAGAAAGAGAATTTCCGGTTTCACTGCAGTTTATTTATACATGTCATACTTTTTTTTTTTTTTTCCCCATTGAGGCTTCTGTGTCTAACTGTACATTTCCATGTAGGCGAGAGGAAGTCAGAAAGAAGAGATAGCGAGAGGAGAGTACAGTAAATCCTGCACCCTGTAACTGGGCCTCAAATAGTAGGAGGAGGGTTTACCAAGGCTGTTATATACATTTGAACACACAGACCACATTTGACGCACTGCAAAATAATTGCTAACTGTAGCAGGAGTATCAAGTCCTACCACTGCACACCGTATCAAACATTTCATTATCATCAAAGCCGGGAGCTCTGGGGGAAAAAAGAGACCCAAATCTGCGTTGTGTCAAACTGTCGTTACTTAAGTCTCTTTATCCTTATCGCTGTTTTTTCAACGATTAAAATATGAGCTCAGGGTTAGTAGGGAACAGAGGGATCTCGTCGTGGTGAGAACTAATTCTCCTTTACATGGAAAGTTTCCCCGTATGAATGCTGTCTTTGGAACAAAAGAGCGAAGAACCTAAAAAGTCGGGTGTGGAGTTTGTCGGATTAATTCAAGTGTTGAGATACAATTAGCCCTGGAAGGATTGTGATCAGGCAGCAGTGAGGGCAGCTGGCTTCAGGCTCACTGCAGAGATGAAGTTGATTGGTTCCCTCGGTGCAGCATGTCCCAGAGCTCTGTGCCCCTCTTAGAAAGTTTGGAGTCCATCCATGTTGGAGGAAGTTGTGAGAGCGTTCCTGCCGTGTGGGGGGGTGTGAGAGAGAGAGAGAGAGAGACTTATCATGTGTCTCCTTCGCATTAACAGCTTCTGCTGGTCCTGCAGTGTTTGACACAAAGCCACATTTACAATTGCGCTTTAGTTTGTCTTTTGATGTCTCTGTCTGGGTTTGTCTCTCGACTGCTCATCCTTTGCTTCTCCCCTTTTTCTGTCACCACACACCAGCTGCCCCCAGTCTTGCCTCATCTTTCATATCGGCTTGTCCCGCACACAGAGGGTCGGGTATTCGCTTACTCTGGATCAGGTGCCATCTAATCCATGTTTGCTAAACATCGAGATGGTTATACACCTAAATGGCAGTTTTCTTTTTTTCACTCTTCAATCTTGTTATATGTATTTTTACTGAATCTGGAGACTCTACTGGACTCGACCCCTAAAATACACAACCTACACCTAGGCCTCCCTCTGACTTGACCTCTCGTCCCTCTGCCCCCCAGGAAGCCTAATGGAGACTACCGCAGCTCCCACATCTCCCACATCTCCTCCAAGGACCGGAGCCGGAGCCCGATCGAGCGTGTGGTGGTGCCCGGCACTCTGGGAGTCCATAGCAACCACCTGTACAACCACGCCCACCATCAGCACCACCACCACCAACACCACCACCTTCCCTTCCTAGCTGGCATGGACCAGCCACTGGCGCTCACCAAAAACAGCACGGTGGAATCTGCACGCAGCAGCACGGCGGCTCTGGCCGCGGTGCCGCATACGGTCAGTGCCGTGGAACGCCAGCAGGTAAGCGGCACTAACCCGTGTTCGCTCTGAATACATGTTTCAGTTAGTTAGTGTCTTCTTGGATGTTGGAGAGTAAAAAATGTCCTCTTTGGTTTGTTAGCCAAAACTGTATGTATACATCTTTTTATACATAAATATGTCTCACTTTTTTAAAGTTCTAAGATCTGTTTATTTACTCTTCTTACATCCCTTCTTGCCAGAGTAGTTTATGTTGTTTTGGTAATCCCTAAATACTGAATCTGTGTTTCAGAATCGCCCTTCAGTGATCACATGCGCTCCAGCCAACAACCGCAACTGCAACCAGTCTCACTGTCCGGTCTCCCACAACGGCTGCGCTAGCCTGGCTAACAACTACAGGAGGAGCAACAGTGAGTGCACACATGCACACCTCATGCTAGCAGGAACAACCGATTGTTACCAAGGAACCTACACTGGGCGCCTCCCTTAAAAGTAGATTTTACTTTTCAATGTGTGGGAAACCCAACCGCTCCTGCTCGGCACATTCACACGGTCCTGCATAACTACTGTTGCTGACAAAAAACCCATCTACGTTTTCTGTCTGAGTCTCGATATGTTACCTTGATTATTATTTGTATGTTTTTATTTTTTTTATTTGACTGCGGCTTTTAGCTCTGTACTGTAAAAGTCTAGCAAGGCACCAGCCAAACCAAGTCTGTTTCATCCAGCCGCCTGTGGGAGTTGATCTTGTATTCAGTGGGTTGATAACTCAACTGTGGCCATTCTTTACGATCCCAGTGGAATCCCTATGATCTCATTGAGGTTAACAATGAAATCTAAAACAGTGATTTACTACAAAAAAACTGCAACGAAAAAGTGAAGTAGATGTCTGTTAGTCATTTTCCATTGACCTAAAACGCACATTACCAATGTTTGGACTGATGCTTAGCAATAAATCCCCCACTGAACTTTATACAAGTGTTTGAGATGTTTAAGTCTTTTTTTTTTTTTTTACTTGTGGGAAACAAACTCTGTTGCCTTCTCCTCCAGCCAATACAGCCTGCGACCCGGTGATCGAGGAGCACTTCCGCCGCAGTCTGGGGAAGAACTACAAGGAGCCGGAGCCCACCGCCACCAACTCCGTGTCCATCACTGGCTCGGTGGACGACCACTTCGCCAAAGCACTGGGCGACACCTGGCATCGGATCAAGAACAAGGGGAGTCCCTCGTCGTCGGGCAGCAGCCCAAACTCCTCCCCTGACAGTCACATGGTCAATCACAACCACTCACCTTCCGTGGTGTCCTGAAGGAAGACGGGTTGAAGAGGGGTCTGCCTGCCGCCGCCCCCCAATCCCCCAACTGCCGCGGCTCTAACCCCCACGCCCTCGTCACTTTGGTCTATCACCAGCATCCCAGAGGGAATGCCTGCCTGCTGGTCTGCTAAAAACATTTAAAGCCCCTCCGAAGCCTGTCTGACCCCCCTATCCCCCCCCCTTCTCTCTGCACTCATAGAGGATCGGGGAAGCGGTAACAACATGGTTGTTTCCCGTGTGTTTGTTTCAGACATTAATCGATCATGAGCAACTGTCGGTGGACTTTTGAGACTCGACGGGAGCATCGAGCGGCTCCTTTCTGTCTTCATCATCCCTGCATGTCGAGAGACGAGCTGAACACTCAGTCTTAGTGTCAGTAGTTATTTGTACATAAAGAAAGAGGGGGTGGTGGTATTTTAATAATTCATTTTTATTTTCATCTTTTTTTCTTTTCTGTTTCTGTAACCGTAGTTTTTTTGTACTGCTTTAGCATTACGAGATGTCCGATGGCTGAAACGATAAGTGTGAAACACTTGGGAGAAAACAAAGGACCAACCACCCGACTGAGCTACTTAAGACAGCCCAGATCTCCTTTCATCCATCCTTCTGTCTGTGCGTGCTGCTGGTTTTTACTGCCCTATGTGCACACCGCCGTAGAGGTTAGGGGTGGCATGTCAACATCACAATCTGCCACTGCACACACAGCGACCGATTAAGCGGATTTCTACACAGTCCGGTAAAATCCAGCTTCTGTTGATTACATGAACTGTTATGGTCAAATCTGCCTGGGCATAATTCTGACAGAAAAGCAAAAGCCCCGTTAGTAGGTGTTACTTTTATTTTTTATTTAATGCATTTTGGGAAAATGGAAGATCCACACCAGCAGGGCTGGGCGGTAAACGGAGGTGAATGCCATGAGGTCCAGAAGTGAAGAGTTTTCACACCATTGCATGTTGAGTAGAGCAGCGGTTGACCACAAACAACCACCTGCGTGCAGGCGGAGCCGCCACCGTCGGGTCTAAAGTACTTAAGTAGTGCCAATGTGTCACATTTCATTTAACAAGCACGTTGTGTCGTCCGATCGGCTGCCTGAGGTGTCGATGGGCGACAACTCTCCTGCACACTGTGGTTTGGTCAATTTCTACAAGGTTGAAAGTGCTTTTACACATGCATTTTTTTAAATAGCTGGTATCTATGAATTATTTTGAAGCAGCATTTCAATCGTTACTATAAGCCTTTTTCCATTAGGACGTTAGTTGTTTTTGTTTTTTTCTGTTGTCAGTAACCGACATACACACTTTACACTCACTGCTGGGTCAGTTGTACGCCATATTATTATTTGTATTACAAATGCTTGTATTTCTGTTTCCCATTGATTAGTATGGTAACACACATGTGTAGTGGCACAGCCTCCGGACAGGCTGAGCGGACAGAGCGGACTCCGGGACACGCAGCCAACAAAGGCTTCTTCGGCAGTGCGGGATGCTGAGACACCCGCTCCTTTTCCCCTTGGGACCTCTCCAGGGGTCTTTATTCCCCCGAGTCTCCGTGGCGTCCGCCCCAGCGCTCTCGCGGTGGCCCGTTAGCAATGCGACGATGCTTTTGAGGAACTCTGCGTTAGCGTCGAGAGTCAGCGATCATCAGTTGACTTTTTCTGTCTTTTTCTTTTTGTACTTCAATGCTTTTTCTTCCTAAACAACGTTGTGTGGTTGCTGCTGCAGTCTGAGAAAATGAGTTTGACTCTGTCAGAGAGCCATGGTGGCATACATTCCTCCTCTAGGGAACTTTGTACAGGCCTCATGCACACTCCGTCTCTTCATGCCAACAGACTACACAAATAACTAGTCCCCAGGGGGCAACTGTCCCAGATCTGCCTTCCAACTGGGCTTTGCTTTTTTGGTTTTCTCGCGCCAAACAAATTGGCCATACTACATGGTTAAGAAAAACAAAGCAGTTGCTATGGATACCATTCTGATAGGACATTGGGGGCACATAATTCAGAGAAGTGGGGCTGTAATATTACAGTGATGTGAGGTCAGTCTGTGTTACATCTACAGACTGATGCCTGAGCCTGTAAACAGCCCACCTAGACCAGAACCCTTTAGGTGGAATGCAGTCTGTGTTCTAGAAGGTCCACACATTCCATTCTCCACTGAACAGAGGTGACGGAACCAGAACCGGCGGTGAGAGTTCGCCACACAAAAGGTTTTCAATCACAATGCAACTGGCAGTGAATGGATCCTAGAACAGTCCTCCCAGTTGAAATGTGCTTTCTGTGAAAGGTGCAGCGGTTTAAACAGTGATTCTCAGCAGGCAGGGTGGGAGGGGCCTCAGGAGCTGAGCTTCTGTAAGCTAGACTTAAGTGGGGAGCCTTTGAGCTGAATGTCTGTTGGCAGTGCCCCCCCCCCCCTCCCCCTCTCTCATATTGACCTTGATGTATCAAGTGTCCAGAGGGTTTGTTAAGCCTTTCTCATCGTTTCACTGCCACCTGTAGGTAGCTGGCTCTCTTTCTGCTTCGGCAAACATCGACATCATTTAAAGAAAACAAAAAAAAAGTCAAAAAAACAAACTTTATAAGTAACTATAAGACCATCGTTGCGCTGTGCGTAACGAATGTACAGAGAAAAAAAAACGTAGGTATTTTTTTGAGGAACAATTAATTTGTTAATGATATGTAGTTATTTAATTGTTTTCCCTGTCCTTATATTGTAATCATTGCATTTTCTTTTTTGTGAAAAAAAGTTGATCTTTTTTGTTTATAGTTTGTCTTGTCAGAGTAAAGGTTCAAGTGCAGGAACACAGTAAACTTATGAAACCACAATAAGCCACTGGCGTGTCGGTGACAATCGCTACTTCCATCGGTCCCCAGAGTCTGCCGCCATCAAACGGGTTCGATCAAAGGAGGTTGGCTTTCAGACAGTTTTGCGTTAACGGAACATCATGTTGCCGCCATCCCAGTGAGTCCTGCCGATAGGTTGAGAATAATAAATCTAATCGAAAATAATTCTTTATACAGTGAGACCGGCTCCTTCCATTTAAACGTCAAGGTAAACTTTCCACCGCTGCATGAAAGGTATCTGCATTTTTGGTTTAGAAGGTCTATTGATGGCTTATTTACAGCCGGGAACCGAACTACAAGTTTAAACGGTCTTTGCTTTCCTCGGTGAGATGGAAGCGTAGTGTCGTCGTCCTCGTAGCGGTTCCCGTTCATCGAGGTCATTTTGCATTTGCAATCGAATAAATAAGAGAAAACTTGTGCAGAAAGATTCAAAGAGGAGTTTGACTTTACTCTATCTCATATTCCAGGTCCTTTTTGAAGTGGAAGTGGCATGAACTTAGTCGTAGTAACACTCTGAACTGTGTAACAAAAAAACAAAAAAAAATTGTATCAACAGTCAACTTGTGGCTCTGTGTCTCCTACTGAAAAGGTTTTGGCAGGCCACCTTTCTTTTTGTACGTAAAGTAGCCTTGATGAACAATAAAGTGCTTTTAAACCACCGTCTGACTGTGTTAATGTGCACGTGTGTGACGCTGAAGGTTAAAGCGTTTGAGCGCTGGACTCCACATAAAGCCACGGACGTGAAACATTATTAGCAAAGAGACATTTTATTACAGTCTTTTGTTAAATACTTACAGAAGAGTACAAGCGACACCCAAACCGATGAAGTCAGAACCGATTACACTCACACGTTGAAAGAAGTTTGCATTCTGCCATTTCTTTTCAAAGGACTCATTTCTCCCACAATTCAAGTTTTTTTTTTTAATGAATCACCACATTCCCACTGCGCCTATAGTCTTCCACAAACATCCAAGCATTTGTCAAAATGTACATTTTATTACACAGAAAATATAGTACATGTTAGAAGTTCAGATAAATGGCCAACGATAAGAGTACGAAAAGCAACTCCGACGTGTACGAACAAACAAATCCATGCGTCAACACAAACACCATAAAGACCGCGGGTTTGTTCTGGAGAAAACCGCGCAGTAACACTTCATCGTTTCCGTATCGAGAAGCCAGAGTTGCGCGGCGACGTCTGCTTGCGGGTTTCCTATGTGGAATCAACAGACCTGGTTCTGGTCCTACGGGGAGAGCGATGGACGGATCGGACCTGGTTTGTCTGCTGTGTTTTTGCAATTTCCCAATTCCTCCGCCGCGTAGCTGAATGAGCGAGCAGATGTCGCCGGTCGATGTCGTGCCAAAGGACGAACCCGCTAAGTGGGTCCAAGGAGAGGCCGTGGGAGGGAATCGAACCCGAGGCCGCGCTTTGCCTTGTGGAGTGACTGAACAATGCGCGTTGAATGGGACTGGATGAGACATAAAGTACGTGCATTCGTTAAATACAGCAGCTTCAAGTTGTTCGATCTCTCGCCTCGTTTCTCCCGTAACAAACACGGAATATTTGAGCAGAAACAGAAAAACAGATTCTGTTGCGGTTTGTTATTTTAGCTGATTACTGCTCTATTCTGAATCTCTTAGTGATGCTTTTGCTTTTGATTACTTGAGTGTTATGTGCGTGTGCGTGTGTGTGTGTGTGTGTGTGTGTGTGTGTGTGTATCTCCTGTCGCCTCCAGAGCTCCTCTTTGCACAAATGTGTGATTCCAAAAGAAACAGAGCACACAGGAAGGGGCGGGGTTGGAGGGCCTCCGGTCCTTTAGATGCTCTCGTCGTCGCTCATATCCCAAATCTAATAAGAAGAAGACAACACACACACACAAACACAAAAAAAGCATGGTTAACACAAAGTCATTATTTTGTCTACCAAACAGCGTTGCGACCAAATAGTCTTAAGCTCAAGGTCCAGTTGCTATTTCCTTTCCCGGGGGCTTTTTTTTCGCGGCGTGACCTTAGCGGTGCCCCGTGTGAACGGAAATAAACGCAGGTCGTGTTTACGTTCGCTGTTTCTCACACATGAATGTCTCCTTGAGCTCCAACGCGCTGCCACCGTTTCCTTTTCCCATAAAACATCTGCAAAGCCAATTCAGCATGTTCAAGGACGAGGCCGAACTTAAAGTCCCGCCTAATCTCCAGGTTCCGATACGTGCAGTATGTACAGTGCATGAAGCCACTGGTCGTTACCCAGGAGTCACGCACCCAACACGCGTGTGAACGTGACCAAAACTACATTGTGAGAAAACGCACGCACGCACGCACGCACGCACGCACGCACGCACGCACGCACGCACGCACGCACGCACACACGCACACACACACACACACACACACACACACACACACACACACACACACACACACACACACACACACACACACACACACACACACACACACACACACACACACACACACACACACACACACACCTCCTTTTCACCACTGGGTCAGTAAACAGCGGCGGCCTTCTCGTGGCAGCAGATTCTTCACATTCTCTCACCGTGAGACGCAATTCACATACCTCGACTGGAATGTACACACACGCATACACACAATGCTGTGAGCGCGTGTACACACAGACACACACAGTTTGACACATGCATGCCGCATTCCACGGAATGTGCTGCCCTTTCCCTTTCTTCTTGTGCAGCGATATTGTGATCACATCTGCAGACCCAATGAGCTTATAGAGAAGAACTCTAAAGTTCTCTGACGGACATTCATGGGAAACATCAGATGTGATGAAAAAAAGTCACAAGTTGTCTAAACAAAGGGGCAAAGTAACTAACGGACGATTGTTTACCAATGATTGATTTATTGGGTACTCATTTGGTCAGTAAAATGTGGGAAATATACATATTTGGCAATCTGGTTTGTATTTTGGCAGGAAAATGGACCTAAACAATTAGAAAAGTATTAATAGATCTCCCAATTCATCTCTCAAACTCTACTTATTGATTAATTGAGTAATTGTTCATGTCCAGAGCACCAATTATACCAGCTCTACGCCAAAGAGCCGACTTCACACTTTCACGCAGGCTTCCATTCTCTAAATGTGTCCATTCTCTACTCCTCATTTCCCCACTGATTCTTCTGTCCTCAAAAGAGTCCACATGATCATCATCATCATCATCAGAGCGCACGCCGAGGCCCCACAGTACATTAAAAGCAAATCCTCTCAGAGTAAAGGAGGCATCATCAGCAGCACACATCAAGAGTCCTGTTATTTATACTGCGGGTCCACATTTGGCGTCGTCGTACACGATTGTTGATTCAATACAAACAGTACAAAACGCCGTCGGCCCGACACAAGAACAGCGACTAGAGGCAGTGCTCAGGGAGGATGTGCATCTTTCACAGGAACGCCTTCAGAAACGACTCATCGGGTTTCCGGTCCTCTGAACCAGCAGCTGCACTGGTTGCATGCGGTGTTCTTATTTGACCTTACGGAAGTTCATCCATTGTGATGCGCGCGTGGAGGACGAGGGACAAATTCACATCAGAAGCTGCCCGCTCGGCTTTTCCGCTCCACCGATGAGGAGCGTCAAAACGCGGCGAGAAAGAGCTCTGTGAAACGAGGCGACACTGGAGCCCCTCTCTGGACGCCTGCCACGCCGCACTGATGGCCTGTGTGTGTGTGTGTGTGTGTGCGCGCGTGCGTGGGTGTTTTGAGGAGTCTTTTGTGCTAAATGAAAGGGGGAGTGAGGGGAACTTATGTAACACGACCAGCAACTGAAGCCAACAACTTTACTACACTCGTTTAAGCACGACTGAGTACTCGGGATTTTTTATCACATGACATTTCTTTATCCAATAATATGACTTATTACACAGTATTCTTTATGCTATAATAACTGTTTGGGGAATATGTACTATGGTTTTCTTACATTACTTTATTTTTATGTGCAACACACTAGTAACTGTTAGCTGCAACCCTGGCTTGAGTGATATCGCAACACACACACACACACACACACACCATGACAACACATCATAAAGGGATTGGCGGACGCACAATCACCGACAAACATCTTTAACTTTGAAGCAGCCCTATCGCGTCGGGACCTCCAGTCACTGCAGGTGAAAAAGAGGATTGCTGGAGGCGACAGTGAGCTGCGTGTAATCGGTGCGTGGATGCGTCTGTAATCAGCCGGGCTCCGGCTCACGGGGGAAACTCTAATCCAGGCTAGTTGTCAAAACAAGGCTGGGATCTGATCAGATAGGGGGAGGTTTGTAGCGAGTGAGCCAACTCTCTGCAGTCGCTGATTGCCTGCGCCCCCCCCCCCCCCCCCGTCCTCCGTGTGAGTGTCTGTAAGCAATATTTATCTTTCTGCAGGACCGACTCAACGCTTCTGCAATAAAGTTAAACTACACTCTAGCAACTGCGCAGTGGATTTCATGACATTATTAAGGGTTGTTTTTATTCTGTCAGGATCCCACTGAGCCCATTGACAGGAATTCTCCTTAAGTGCGGGTGGGTGCCCCCCCCCTCCCCCGTCCCCAGCGGGAATCCAGCCTCTAAAAGCCATTCAACTAGGGAGCGCTACCCGACCGCGGACGATGGGCTTTGATATCAAACGCACATCTGCTTTACATATTACCGCTGACACCAAAGCAGAGTCAAGCTTTCATCCCGCAGAGCGGCTCCATCCGATGTGCAATTAGCGGACCACACAGAGCGACGTGGTTTATGGCTCCTGGTTGAGGAAGAAAAGGGGACCAAAGCTTCAAATCTTCTTGTGATTTTTAGTTAAATTTAGTTTTTACAAGACTTAAAAGACTTTGTGGACTGTGACTGTCCCCCGCCCCCCCGCCGCTGCTCGCTGGAGAGACGCGGCGTCTCTTCAGACGTGGAAACGGGACCCCGGTGGCTCCATGTGTTTGTTAAACGGGTTGTTTTATTGTGGGGAAAATGATGTAAAACATTTTTATTTAGACATCCACAGAGAATTAGGCACCTGCTGGCAAGCTGCGAGTCCAAATGTATAATGATACGAAGGAAGAGTTTTTTTACTCTTTAATTAATTACTCATGTAGCCCAGGAGAAACGCATTTGTCTTTTCTAAGCAAATCTGATTTTTTTTAATTAACGTTTAATTAAATACAGTCAGTGATGGCACAGAATGTGTGTTTCTGCACAGTTATTCATTAATCCATTCAGTTGCCATCAATAGAAACATACCGTAAGTGGGTATTGTGGGTTTGTGTATGCAGGTTGTAGCTTACATGACTAGAACAACTTAAAATGTGGCTCCTCTTTTTTTTTGCTTTATCCTGATGGAGCTTCAGATGTACATTGGATCTCTCCTGCTGGGTGTTGAGCTGCTGTACAGTGACACTGGCTTTGTGACTCTCTAAATCAAAATGGTGACATCTGGGGCCCATCGTGAGCTGCGTGTGTATAAATAGCTCTCATCAGCTAAAAGGCCCAAACAGGCAGCGCTTTTGGAGCGAGTCCACAAGCTGTTCCTTCTCGGTATCGCCAATGGTTTCCGGCTGACGGTACTTTGTGTTCAGGGTTAATGAACGTGTTCAAGACTCAAGAGATAATGCATGAAAATCACAATTTAAAAACAGGGGGGTGGAAAAAAAACACCACTGTGGTTTCACACTAAGCTTTCCCATCTGAGTCGGACTTGTTTAAACTCGTTCTTTCTGATCTACGGATCCTACGCGACGGATCTATCAGCGCGTGTAAACATCAGCACCGGTTGTCTTCACAAGTGGTCTGAACTACGGGAGTATTTGTTTCCTCTAACAAATTACATCTGGTAGTCAAAGCTTTGCATTTGATCATTAGTGTTAATGAGGAGGGGGGAAGAGGGGGGGGGGGGGTCACTTCCCCTACATCCCTCCTCATAAAGCCCATAAGACAGTCGACACCTGCGGCAGACGCATCTCTGACGGACATCAAACTCCTCCTCTGGTCTTTTGTTCTTTCCGTCCGATCCACAAACGATGGAGACAATCGGCCCACAAAGGAAACGGCCAAAGGACAGGAAAGGGAATCGCAGGTATGTGTGTTGATCAAATAATGACTACAACTACTCATCGCACGTCTGAGCACAACATACACACTGACAGCACGCACTAATGAACGGTTCACATAAATGAATCATGTGGTTTGGGTGTAGCCCCTCGTTGGTCACACGGAGAAGCACAAAAGACATTTTGGACTTTTTCAAAGACATTTTTTCGATGACATATTTCTTAACTCTCGACTTTGGGCTCGGTTCAAACGCTGCAAATGAGGTCAACGAAAAGGGAGATTGAGTTTTATTTATCAAAGTACAGGAGCCTCTTCATGCGGCAAACAATCTTTCCCTGGAGGTCTTTCTTTTTTGTCTGTTTTTGCTCATTTCTATATAACGTCATGGCATCGTCCATGCGCTCCGGTTCTTCCATCTACAATGATCTCTTCAAAATAGTGACATCAGGTGTGAGATTGATCTCTGCTTATCATCAGTATGTGTATTCTTCTAGTCATCATCAGAAGGGCATGGGAGCTGTGCAGTAGTCTGTTAGTGACTAAAGAAGGTTATTGCTGATCATACGGTCAAATGAACAACATCTACTTCAGGCTCGTACAATACGTTTTACACTGCGAGATATTCAGTCATCTTAAAAAAAATAGAGAATCGTAACTTTCTAAATGTTCAGCAGCCGTTTATTACTGATCCATTAGGTTTTTTGCACAAAATGACAGGACCTTTTTTGCAAGAAATATAATTGGTTAAATACTCATGCAGGTCTGGTAAAAAGATCCAGCAACACAATGTAACACACACATAA